AACCCCACGTCTTTCTTCCTTTTTATTTACTAGCTTTTGATGGTTAGTTTAGGGAATGTTTCAATTAGCATACTTATGATAGCATGTTTGCATACATTCATTCGTTTTGCATGCACCGGGCTCGGCGCATCATACTAACTGCATTTGTATTTCAATCCCAAATTGAATACATGTTAGCTGTAGCATTTCACATGTCATTTTAGAATAGCCGAGCCTATTGTAGTTGCATTCCTACATGTGTTACATTAGGTATTTCTGTATAATTAGGACCATGCATGGATTTCTAACATAGCTTTTGTTTTGTCTTGGGGTACTCTGTAAGTCTTTTCGCTTTAGCATCTTTACATGCGTGTGAGTGTTGCCATGGCAGCATGCTTACCATGAGGCTATTTGCTTATATGATATAAATGCTTGGATGCCTGTGGGTGGAGGTTGAATTACCTGAATTGGAATAATGCATTAAAACTGTGAGTTTTAAGCCCACTAGATAGTAGCAAAATCATGTTTTCTAAGCCCACCCGAAGGTGGCAAAATCTGCATTTTAGCCTACTTACGAGTAGCAGACCATTTTCAAAACAAACATGAAATGTTTTGTTCCAATTCAGGCGATCCAGTCTATACTTTTGTGCTGTGCGCATCACATAATAAATCTAGGCTAATAACCGAAATAAGAACGCATAATGTTTTCAAAACAAGATATCATGGTTAGTAGAGACCGATCTTCGGATCGGGCGAGAGGGGGTGCTCATAGCTGACCTTCTCCAATCGTACCCAAGTTCCCGAGCCGAGGCAACTCTGGTGATGACGGACACGTGACCTTAGGCAAACGAGTTAGGGTTTCCTAAATTTCCCCGAAATAAAATATTTAGGTGGCGATTTTGTATTTGGCAAAGCAGTCCACGTTTGGCACTTCTTTCTAAAAATCTATTTTTCAAAACAATTTGCCGGATTTGAACTCTTTGGTTCAGATTAAGAACCGTGACGATTTGAGAGTCCGAACTGTAGTGAGTCCAAAACGAACAGAACGGGACTCATCCTCCCGGGGCGTTCGAGGATGTCTACAAATAGTGTTTCGAAAAAACAATTGTTCAATGAATTACATTTTGGTTTAAATAGTGATCAGTTGGAAGTTTATGATACCATAATGAATGCATACAATTGTAAACAAGGGGGTTTATTTTTCCTTTACGGAAGTGGGAGAACAGGAAAAACATATCCATGGAAAACATTAATAACAAAGTTTAGGTAAAAAAATAAAATAAAATTGTCCTTTCAGTTGCATCATCTGCAATTGCAGCTTTGTTATTACCAGGAGGTAGAACTGTGCATTCACGCTTTAAAATTCCAATTAATTTGGATGAATTCTTAAGTTTTAGTATTAATCAACAGACTGAATTGGCAAAATTAATTCAAGAGGCATCATTGATCATATGTGATGAAGCTCCAATGCACCATCGTTATGGATTTGAGGCAGTTGATCGTACTTTCAGAGATATACTAAAGGGTACAGAATTTTTTTCAAGTGATTGTGTATTTGGTGGAAAACTATTCATACTTGGTGGTGACTTTAGACAAATTTTACCTGTAGTGCTAAAAGGTAAGTGAAAAGCCACAATTGCAGCATCGTTGAAGGAATTGACTATTTGGAATCATTGTCATGTGTTGCATTTGAGGACCAATATGCATATTATGGCCCATGATACTTCTATTCAAATGCATCGACAACTAAGGGATTTTACTAACTAGATATTGATGATTGGTGATGGAAAAATACCTGGAATTTCTTTCACTGAAGGCGGGGAGACTATTTGGATTGAAATTCCAGAACAATTCTTGATTAGAAATGGATCACATGCTTTACATGATTTGATTTATGCAATCTATCCAAATTAAGTACTAGATACAGTGACAGTTCTTAGTTGAAAAAACATGGCGTCTTAGCACCAAAAAATGCTGATATTGATGAACTAAATGTCATAATGCTATCAATGTTGCCTGTAGAATCTCGAAAATACCTAAGTGCAAATATGATATGTCCAGCTATGGGTGAGAACATTGACGAAAGCATGCATCCACTAGAGTTATTGCACTTATTAAATTTTCCAGGAATTCCAAGTCATTGTCTTGAACTCAAAAAGAGAGCGCCTATAATGCTATTGAGAAATCTCAATCAATCTCAAGGTCTATGCAATGGCACCCGTCTTATTGTTGAGAAAATGGGAGATAAAGTGATTGAGGCACAAGTGATTATGGGTTTGAATATTGGGGAATGAGTCTTTATTTCACGTATCATTTTATCACCATCTACCACACATTCACCTGTCCCGATTAAAAGAAGACAATTTCCCATAAAATTAGCATTTGCAATGACCATAAACAAAAGTCAAGGTCAAACTTTAAAAAAAGTTGGCATATACCTTCCTAATCCAGTATTCTCCATGGTCAGTTATATGTTGCCTTATCGCATGTTACCACACCATCAGGCTTGAAGATATTGATTGTTAATAAGGTTGACCAATCGTTAAATTACACAAAAAATGTAGTATGTCATGATGTCCTTAATAACATTTGAAGATTGATATAAAAAGTCTTTTCAAAATTTCAATGACTGTGTTTTTTTTTTTCTTTAATTATACAATACTTACTACTCTAACTTCTAAATCTTAAACAAAATATTACATTTAGTATACAAAAAGTTGGATGATCTAATCTTTTTTTTTTCTTTTTTCCATTTCATTTAATAAAAATAACTAAAAAATTTACCTTTACAAAATATGTTTGTATAATATTTTTTGTATAATAATTCATTACTTTTTTTTTCTATTTTATCATAATGTAAACTTAACATTTTTTTATTTTTTTTATTAAAAATTCTTAATATTTTCATTTTCAAATTTCTTGAGTTCTATAGATACGTCATATAAAAATTATAAATTCATATTTTGCTCATATGCATCTACATTGTTAATAGGTGATAAAATTATCAGATATTCCTATTTTGCTGATTTATATCCATATGCAAGTAATTGGAGCGTTAAAGCTCAGTTAGTCAAGTTGTTATCTGTGACTAATTGTCCTGGGAGAAATTTGACATTCAAAATGATTTTTGTTGATGGATAGGTATTTACAACTCTTATTATGAGATAATTGTTAAATATTTTGTTTTATGTTATGTTAAAAATGTGTACTTATTGCATTTTTTCAAAGGGTGTTGCCATGGAAGGAACTGTATGTTCTGAGGAATGTGATTACTTCAAAGAACATTTAATTGAAGGAAAAATATATTGTTTGCTTTTATCCTTATCTTGGTTAAGTCCCCTCTTTGCCTTAGGATTCTTGCCCCTTATCTCGGATTCTGATATCTTCGGAGATGACCTCGGCTTTCTCCGAGATTACCTCGGCTTAACTACCAGGGCATGTGGCACCTCGGCTGACACGTCGGCGTCACCATGCCACGTGTTGGTATTCAGAAAATATATCCCCACATATATGTATATATATTGTAGATACAATAATTCAAAGAAAAAGACAATGAACTATGTAGAGAGAGATAATTACCTTTGCGATTGACTCCAGAATACTCTAGTAGATGTAGAACAAAAGAGGAATTTGAGGAGGGCTTCTTGTAGGATTGGAAACTGCTTCAGAGAGTGGGTGCCGATAAGGTAAGAAAGATCCTTTCATTTGAATTAAAAAAAAAGATAAGGTAAGAAAGAGACCAATGAAAATATTAAGGGATTTTCTTTTAATGTTTTTCATAGCACTCACAAATTGTCATTAAAGTTTTAAATTTACATAATTTTACATAGCTTTTGTAAAAAGCTATTATGATTAAAGCAAATGTTATTAAAAATAGTAATGTCACCGCATATTACTTTTTACAACATTTTACTACAAAATGCTGTTAACTCATAATATTTTATGACATTTTGAAAAGAATGCTATAATTAAATGTTATAAAAAGTAATATTTGTTGTAGTGAGTGCAAAAATGGGCTAAAGAGGCAGGCAAGTAGTATTAAGGAGGGGATTGGTGAAGCTGGGCTGGCTGTGCAAAGTTCAAGTGTTTTTGAAGATAAGGAGGTGGAGCCCAACAGTAGACCTGTAAATTCCAAAAAGGGAAAGAAGAAGGTTAGCTATAAAAAACAAAATGGGAATCAACTATTTAAGAAGGGTTCACTTAGTCTACTGAGAACATATGGTCAGATAGGGGCCTCAACAAGCAGATCAGTCCCAAAGGATGCAATTTGGAGAGCAGCAGTAGCAACAATATCATTGTCAACCTCGGTAGAGAATGGACTAGATAAAGGGAGGTGTGTACTTAATAAAACTCAAGCAACATTGAAAATGGGAGAGGTTCTGGGAGTGCAGTTTAATGGAAAAGAGGATGAAGTGTTAAAGAAAATTGTGGGTCTTGAGCTAAATGATCAAGGAAGAATTAGAAGGGGGGATAGTGGCGGAGCTTAAGTAGAGTACCAGCCAGGGTGAAGCTAAGGAGTTTTCTTTGTTTTGTAATGATAATACTTACATGGAACATAAGAGGATTAGGTAAGAAGGTAAAGCAAGGAAAGATTAGGAAGTTATGGAAGGAAATGAAGGTGGAAATGGTAATGTTCCAAGAAACTAAAAATCTGCCATATCTGAGGATGAAGTTAGATTACTATGTGCTAGAGAAAATATGGAATTTATGGCTGTAGATTTCGAAGGAGTAGCTGGAGGGCTACTGTGTGTTTGGGATCCAAATGCTTTCCAGATTTCAGAGTGCTGCAGCAATAGGAGGTTCATAATACTATCAGGTACCTTCTTTAACTCTTTTGAGTGCACTGTTGTAAACATCTATGCACCTAATGAAATGGGTCTAAGAGGGAAACTCTAGGACAGTAGTAAAGTTAAGGGAGGATTTCCCTAAGCCTTGGTGTCTAGGTGGGGATTTTAATGAAATAAGAAACATTGGTGAAAGGAAAGGATGCTCATGGAGAGATCAGGGAATGAGGGAGTCTAATGAGTTTATACTTGCCATTGCTTGGAAGAAAGTTTACCTGGTGTAACTCAAGTGATGGTGAAAAGTGGAGTAAAATTGATAGAGTGCTAGTTGATCCTAAGTGGTTGGAGGTGTTCCAGCTGAAGCTGTGGGGCTTGCCTAGACTGCTATCTGATCATAGCTCTCTAATACTGATGGAGGATGAGAGGGACTGGGGTCCAAAACCCTTTAGGTTTCAAAATACATGGCTTCTTCACAAAAACTTCCACTCTTTTTTGGAAAAAACCTGGAAAGAGTTTGCTGTAGTGGGGTGGGCTGGGTATATTCTGCTGGAAAAATTAAAAAACTTGAAGGTTGGTCTAAAGAAATGGAATGTGGAGGTGTTTGGGAACATTACTAATAAGTTAAAAGCAACAGAGGTTGAGTTACATAGGTTAGAGCTTGTTGCTGATGCTAGAGATCTTGATGACACAGAAAGAAGGAGAAGGAGAGAGGTTAGAGGTGAGGTGTGGAGATTGAGCAAGATGGTGGAGAGATTGTGGTCCCAAAAGTCAAGGATGAATTGGGCATTGATGGGTGATAGGAACACAAGATTCTTCCATGTCATGACAAAATGTAGACAATCCAGGAATAAAATAAATTCAATCTTAGAGAGGGGGGGTGATATATGAGGATCCTTGTCTTGTGAAAAACAAAGTGTTTCAACATTTTCAGAGCCATTTTTTGGAAGAGTGGAATGGGAGACCTGGACTAGGAGGGTCATTCAACTCAGTGCAAGGAAGTGGAGATTTTAATAGGTTGGAAGCAAAGTTCTCAGAAGTTGAGATTAAAGCTGCACTGATGGATTGTGATGGGAATAAAGCACCAGGGCCAGATGGTTTTAATATGGGATGCTTTTAGAAATTTTGGAAAGTGATGAGGACTAAAGTGGTCAAGTTTGTGAATGAATTTCATAAGAATGGCAAGCTGGTAAAAGGAATTAACAGTTCCTTCATTACCCTTGTACCTAAAAAGGAGAATCCTGTAGGGTTAAATGACTATAGACCTATAAGCTTGGTGGGATCAATATATAAGATTATAGCTAAGTTATTGTCTCATAGGCTGAAAGTAGTGATGCCTCATATAATTAGTGAAACATAGACAACGTTTCTAAGTGGAAGGAACATCCTAGATGGGGTATTACTTGCTAATGAAGTGGTTGATGGGTGGAAGAAGGAAAAGAGAAAGGGTCTTGTTATCAAGTTGGATTTTGAGAAGGCATATGATTCCATTAATTGAGGGTTCTTACTCTCTTTGATTTCTAAGTTTGGTTTTGGGGATAAATGGATCAGATGGATCAAAGAATGTGTAACATCTGCGAGAATATCAGTGCTTGTTAATGGGTCTCCAACAGAAGAATTTAGTCCACAAAGGGGTTTACGGCAAGGGGACCCTTTGTCTCTTTTTCTGTTTAACTTGGTTGCTAAAGGATTACACATATTGTTGTCCAGAGCCCAGGAGTTAGGTCTGATTCAAGGGGTCAAGGTTGGATAAAATGGTGTTATACTTTCCCATCTTCAGTTCGCAGATGATTCCCTATTATTCTGTGTAGCAGAGGTTGAAGAGGTAAGGCATCTGAAAAAGGTGCTAAGATGCTTTGAGTTAATGTCTGGATTGGGAATTAACTATCATAAAAGTGTAGTGTGTGAGGTGGGGGTCTCAGATGATACCATGGACTGTTTTGCATCAGTTTTGAATTACAATGTAAAGTCCTTACCCCTTAGATATCTTGGGCTACCTTTAGGAGCCAATCTAAGGAGGAAAGCTACTCGGAAGCCTGTCCTAGATAAAGTCAGATGTAGGTTGGCTAGTTGGAAGAGGAAGCTACTGTCATTTCCTGGGAGACTAACTCTTGTGAAAGCTGTGTTATCTGCACTACCAGTGTATTATCTGTCCCTCTTTAGGATGCCTGAAGGAGTTGCCAAAGAAATCGAGAGGTTGCAAGCTGCCTTTTTGTGGGGTGGGTCAAAACAAAGGAGGAAAATCCATATGGTCAGATGGGGGGATGTGTGTAAAAGTATGGATCAAGGAAGTTTGGGCATAAGGCGGGTGAGAGTGGTAAATATTTGCTTACTTATAAATTGGTGGTGGAGGTTTAGTTGTGAGAATGAAGCTCTATGGAAGAAGGTTATATGCAGCAGATATAAGTTAAAGGTGGACAGCTGGTTGCCATCTGCTACATCTAGCAATAACTCTTCAGTGATATGGAAAAGTATCACTGTTCTTGCTGAGTAGAGCAACAATCTGCTAAAAGTTTTCCTGAACAACTTCCAATTAAAGGTTAGGGATGGTAGAAGAATAAGCTTTTGGAATGATAAGTGGTGTCAGCAACTGTGTTTGAAAGTGGTGTTCCAAGGCCTTTATAGACTGTCTCTAGAGAAAAATGACACATTGAGAGATATCTTTGATAGGAAAGATGCAGTGGGGGTGTGGAATCTATCATTTAGAAGAGTATTATATGTGTGAGAAGAGGTAGAGCTGCAGAATCTGTTAAATCTGCTGGCAGCAGGTCCTGCAATGTGCCTAGACCAGGTGGATAGACCTGTTTGGTTAGCATCTAAGTCAGGTCAGTTCTCTGTGGCTGCAATGTACAATATAGCTGTGCATAATTTAGGCCCAACACTTAGAATTTGTAAATTGGTGTGGTTGAGATTTATCCCTCCTAAGGTCCAGGTGTTTGGGTGGTTGTCTTGGAAAAAGAGAATCAAGACAGTTGAATTCTTACAAAGAATTGGTGTGCTTCAGGGGTCTGAATCAAACCCGTGTGTGTTCTAGAAGGCTACCACTGAATTTGTGAATCATGTCTTAATTTGCTGTCCTTTTGTGTAGAGAGTTTGGACTGATTTGCTGAATTGGTGGGGGACTCAAGGGGCATTTCCTGAATCTGTGGATCAGCTGCTGTTGTGGTGGGCAGGTGGGAGAATGAAGAGGTTGGAAAGAAAGATCTGGAGTGCTATTCCGTTGGCTGTGCTGTGGTCAATTTGGAAACTTAGAAATGAGTGTGTTTTTATGGCTGTTAACCCAAACTGGTATGAGGTGTGTGAACTGATTAAGACTAGGATTGTTATGTGGTTGCATCCACATTTGAAGGATTTTTCCTTCACAATTTATGATTTCATCTATAATATTAGGCAGGTCAGATTGTGCCTTGGAGGAGCAGTGATGCTGTAAGTTTGAATTGAGCCCAGATAAACCTGCATTGATTGATGATTTGAATGTTTGCTGTATTTTAATGGACATCATAGCAACATTTGTAATAGTTTTCTATGGGGTGTTTTTGGTGAACTGTAACTGAAAGGTGCTTTTTTGGCGGATTGCATCTGATATGGTGAAGACTGCAACTGGTTTTTTGGTGGTCTGCTGTGAGGTAGCTATTTGTTGGTTTGCATCTGTTATAGCTGCAGCTATGCTGGTATGGCTAGTATGTTTGTTATGTTCTAGTTGCTGCTCTGTAGGCTGCTATGTATGTTGCTCTGTATGCTCTGTTATGTTCTTGCTGGCTGAATGGAGTTGCCTCTGCCTCTACCTGTGGCTAGTAGGCTGTTGGAGTAGCCTCAGCCTGTTGTTGTGGCTGTATTTTTTGTGTTTTTTGTTCTTTTTTCTGTTGGTTCCTTACCAACTGGCGCTTGGAGCTTTCTGTTAGCTCCAAACTCCTCTTTATTGATGTATTTTATCATACCTCGTATGTTTATTCATCAATAAAGATTTATTTTGGCCGATCAAAAAAAAAGTAGCTCAAGTTTTGTATGAAAGTTTCATAAGTTTTAAAATATATGCAAGTTTGATATAGTTTGGATGTGTGTACATCGATTTGAATTTTTATGTTTTTTTTTTTTTTTAAGGTAATGGAGCAATTAAATAAAAAAATTTTAGTAAAAAGTTCTTCACCATCACAGAGTGACCCCCACAACTAGGCAAAGTAAGGTTTCATCCTCATAGCTGATATATTTAGCTACTGTACTTTTTATATTTTTTATTTTTGACGGTAGTACTATTTGTGTACTAGATTGAACTATATTTTTCTTCATTTGAACATAGTGGTTCAACTTTCTTCAAATGGAGGTTTAAGTTTGAGTGTGTTTTGAATAGTATGTGTACACTTCTTAGTTGTTAGGGTATATTTGAAATAGAAGTATGTAAAGTGAGTATATATTACGTAAGAAAAATTATAGTCCTGTGATCTTGTGAATATTGATTTAAGAGTTTCAAATCAACAAAACTCAACAATAAAACAAGAACTAAAAGCAAGAAAACATAACGATTTTACATAGAAAAACCACAGTTAGAATCTATCTTGTGATTAAAAAACCACGGGCCTTTGGTCACAAGAACAATCCACTATGAAGTAGAGTAGTACAAAAGATTTCTTATAACGGCCAATCCAAGTACACATGCTTGCTCGAGAACAATAGGTAATTGAACTCTATCCTTCAATCTGTGGATATCCGCCTTCACAATAGAGATGTCGAATCCACTACTCACTTACTCTGTAAGAACACTCACAAATTATTTGGTGATTTGGTTTAGACTAGATGATTTCATGATAGACAAATGAGAATGAATCATCAAGCAAATATGAGAGAAATATGAAATATGAATTTTCACCACAACACTCTTTCAGAAGACAGTTTAAAATAAAGACACGAGGGGTAAAAATATACAATTGAACGAGCATTCTATTTATAGACATAACACATTCGCGGGTGCGAGCCTCTTGATTGCAGGTGCGAGACTCTCTTCGTGGGATGCAGAGAAAAGTACTGGGAACATGTTTTCCTTGTGGCCTGTTTGCGGCTTGGTCGCGACCGCTATACTTCTTAATCGCGGGCTCGAGGTACTGGGTCGCAGGCGCGATGAAGCATGGCAGTCAAGCTGTTATTTCAGACTTTTGCAAGCTTCTTTTCTCCACGTGCTAAGACCATCTCCAACGGTGAACCAAATTCAGTATCAAATTTGAATTTGATGAAAAAAGTCACTTTTTTTTTGCTCCAATGGTTTCACCAAACCGATATCAAACTGAGAACGGAGCAAATTTTTCATCAAATTGAGAATCTGCGTGAGCCTTCACCAATTCACTATGCTGTATCGTTGCAAGTGGGGCCACGGTCAACTTGCTGGACGTCCGGCCGGTCGACCAAGTTCAAATATTCAGGTTCAAACAAGTAAAAAAAAATAAAAATATTTACCTTACCGATCGACCCCTGCCTTTGATAACAACCATTAGAAGAGCCTATATAAAATAGAGAAAGTGATCTTTTTTTTACCTAACTATTAGAGATACTCTAAGGCATGATTTTCTTCGTTCTTTTTACCAAACAAACAGCAGTCTTTGCCCATGCTCGCAATCACATGCTTGTGCATGTGTGTGTCCAACCAATAACTCACTTTTTCAACAAAGACAAACTCTGATTAATCCAAGATAGAAAATCAATCACATCATTTAAGAATCTATGAGCATGACTTTATCAAATGTTTCAAGACGGTTAGAACAAAATCAATAACCACGAAGAGAAAAAGAAAATATGTTTTGCGAGGAATTTTGTCAAAAACAACCAAGTCATAGGATAAGAATCCTAATTAGGTGTGTGAAATTGAGAGGAATGTACACAAAGTGTTAATGGTGTGTGAAAATAGAAGCTAAAATGATGGTGTCAGTAGATTTTATTTTTTATTTTTGGGTAAGCTGTGTAAGTAGAATTGCCTAAAAGTTGTCTATGATTATTTAAATTGTAAAATTACTTTTTTGTCCATTAGATTAGGTTTTCGTCGTTACTGATTTAAAAGGTCTGTATCCAATTAGATCACATGAACTAAAATAATAAATTTTACAAACTAAATAGATGAAATTGATAGTTAAAAAACAAAGTCTAAATCAGTAACTATTAAAGGTTAATTTGATGGACAAAAAGGTGTAAAAAAAGTTAAAATGGTAAAAAATTATTTAAAAAGTTAAAAAGTTATCACTATTCACCAAAAGTCAAAAATTACGACTGCACAACTCCTAATCCTAATTTTTCTCTATATGCTAATTTATACAATTTTTTAATACATATTTTTTCATAAAAATTCAAAAAGTTAACCTAAACATCCATATTTTTTTCCTCAACTTTTTAGTCTAAAAAGACAAAAAGTATACTTATTTAGGACACCCCAAACAACCCCTTATTATTACTTTTTTTAGGGCAATCGTTAGAATCTACACTAACGTAATCTAAGGAAAAATGGGAAGGGGACCACACCTATTACCCCACTTGAGGCTTGAATACGCAACCTCACAAGATCATGAGTTAAACATCTCATTACATAAGAACCGAAATCATACATTTTTAGGATTAAAAAGATGAAATTAACAGTTAGGGATGAAATATAATAAATAATAATAATTTTTACTTTTACAATTTCACACTTTTGATAAATATTGCTATGGAATTTCACTTTCCGCGCGCGCGCACACATATATATATATATTAGTGCTAATTTTCTAATATGGAATTAATTATATCTATTTATGCAATTTGTGGCAATAGAGCCATTTTATATCACATAGGACTTGATAAGTTATAGAACATAAGTTGTCCAAATAGGATTTTCTAAAAATACCCAATTATAATTTAGAAGATAAAAGTCTTTGTTTTGGGTAAATTACATTGACTGTCCTTGAAGTTTAGAGAAAATATAGTAAACTCTACAAATTTAACATAATTACACTGGACTCCCTTAAAATTTTAATTCATATAACACTTGGCTTGACTTTTATAAAAAATTCATTATTCATATATGAATGAAAAAATGATTTGTCATATCTTTTATATTGAAGTGTACATTTTATACTTGTATTGTTGTATCTTCATATCATTTGCATTAACTTTGGTCTTTTTAACCTTACTAGAAGGAAGGTTTTTGTAATTATGTTAAAATTGTAAAACTTGTTGTATTTTCTTTAAATCTCAAGGGAGGTCAGTGTAATTTACCCTCATTTTTTTCTGTCAAATGTTTTCAGATTAGAAAAAAGATTGGGAGCTCTAAATTAAGAGTTCTAATAGTTCTAATAAGTGTGTGGGCCTCATATGATGTGATGTTTTGGCCTTGGCTTTTTTTTTTCCTTCTTTTTTTTTTTTGTTTTTTGAATTTTCCACATCATTAGTGCTCTTTAGAATTTTCAAATTAGAGGGAAGTATCGTTTCTTTTTCAGATTATTGCCTTTGCTTTCTAGGTATCTCTTTACTAAATTAGTGATATACCATGTCTGGTCAACGGCAATATATCTTAGACTTAGGGTTTTATGGGTTGCTGTGGTTTGATGCTCAAGTGAAACCTGATGTTGAAAAATATAATGCAGTAAGTTTTCTATTTGTTAATTTGTTATTGTTATTATTTGAATAGAAAAATAAAAATGCATAGTTGTAAAGGTAGATGTGTAGGTGAAGATATACTTATAAAACCAGATTAGCCAATGTGAGAAGAAAAGGGCACCGAGAGTCTTTCTCACAAAGTTATCCATAATGCTGTATTGTATCCATCAAGTCAAAGTCAATTCTTTTGCTATCTCTTAACGTTCCCATATGATAGGGTCTCTTTCATATGTAGAAGCAGCTTCAGACTTGGCATCGTGTCCTCTTATGGAATATTGTTATTATTATTATTTTTTGTATATTGTATTTGAATTATAGATTTGAAAAGGAAAGATAAAATGTGAATGAAATGTAATTATATTTCATTTTTTTTTTCTTTTCCTTTTAAAATTTATATTCAAATTTATGATCTAAAAAAACACAGCCTAAATGATTGGTATGAAGGAAAAGGGAGAAGGGAATAACACTTGAATCTGTATGTCAAGTAAGGTTGTAAAAAAACAAAACTATTTGAACTTGGCTCATTAAAACTTTTTCAATGTCAACTCATTATGTAAAAATATTAAACCTGAACACATTTTGAAACTTGTTAATTTTTTAAATTTGGTTTGAATTTGACTCAAACTCGGCTTGATAAACTTTTGTATGTACTATAAAGAAAAACCAAGCTATTCAAATTAAAAGCTTAAGCTATTTGAGTTTGACTCAGATCCTATTTGGTAGAGCTTATTTCCAGCTTATTTTAGTTTTTAGTTTAATTTAAGTTATTTTGATGTGTTTGGTTCAGCTTAATAATACAGCTTATAACTTTTTGTAAGTCAAAAATCAACTTATTCTTTGAGTGGGGGAGGAGAAGCTTAATTTATAAGTAAAAAATCAGCTTATATTCACAGTTATAAATAAGGTATAAGCTGTTAAGTTATAAATTATAATCACTTTCCCACAGTTCTATCAAACGGGGCCTCAATTAAAGTAAATTTGTGATCGACTTAAAAGATAAATAACTTAAACCTACTTTAAAATTTGTTAAGTTTCTAATTAAATTGAATACGAAATTATTAGTTGTATTTCTTCCGAGAATTTGGTTTTCAATGTCAGATTTTGTTCAACTTGGTTTGTTTACAGTCTGTTCATTGTTCAACTTGAGTTGTCTATAACTCATTCATGCCGACCCTTAATATAAAATAAAAACATATCAATTGAACACCTGTAGAGTAGAGAGTGTTTTACCCCTTCTTTCTTTATGGTCAAGTGATGGCATGCTCATGTCAAATTAAAGCAACATAACAAAGAAAAGAAGTCACAACAATTATATACACAGGACTCGGGGATGACTTCAAATTGATAAAGTGCTATGTGAAGGATGACTTATCAAGAAATGCATAGTTTGATCCAATAATAATAATAATAATAATAGGCTTCTTCATCTATCTTCTTCTTAAAACTCTTATATATAGAAGGCTCTATTGGTGGTGACAATATCCTCAGTCTTCGTGCATTCAACTACAAACACATTGCAAATTCAAGCTTTGCTCATTACTTGGCTTCAATGGCTCAATCCATGAAGCACTCTGTTGTTTGGGTTATGATCTTGTTATTAATGCTAATTGCAATGGACAATGTTTCTTGCAGATCTTTGCAAGGTACTAATTCTCCATCCTCTGATAATCACCAGTCTAGTTCTAACTCTAAATCCCCATCCTCTGATGGTCATAAATCGGGTTCTGATTCTAATAATCAGAATGAAAATAATCAAGGCGGAAATAATCAGGATTCTGGTTCTGGTTCTAAATCTCCACCGTCTAATGGTGAAGGATCTGATTCTGGTTCTAAATCCCCACCTTCTGGTGATCATGGATCTGACAATGGTTCCAAATCACCTCCACCTGATAATCATGGATCCGATTCTGGTTTTAAATCCCCACCTGAGTCTCCTCCTACTACAACTCCACCACCATCAACTACAACTCCACCTCCATCTTCTCCATCACCACTAAATTCTCCACCTCCTACTTCAACTCCTCCACCACCATCTCATTCAACTTCCCCTCCATTACCACCATCTTCACCTTCACCACCACCTCCTACTACTCCATCACCTTCACCTCCAACACCTAACCCATCACCTAATCCTTCAACCTCTCCAACCCCTATGCCGCCTTCATCTACTCCTTCAACTCCACCTCCTACTTCAACTTCTCCTCCACCACCACCATCTTCACTTTTATCACCACCCTCAACTCCTACCTCACCTTCACCACCAATTAAATCTCCTACCCCTCCACAATCTCCAACTCCATCTTCACCTACTCCAAGCACCCCACCTCCATCAACTTCAACTCCTCCTTCTCCTTTACCACCATCATCACCTTCTCCATCGCCTCCTACAACTACTCCATCCTCACCACCTTCTCCCCCATTGCCACCTTCTACCTCACCAAAGAAAGCCAAGTGCAAGAACAAAAACTACCCCCACTGTTATGACATGGAGTTTGTGTTAGGATCAAACACACACCCAGAAAATATCACACACACACAGAGAACACAATATTTACGTGGTTCGGCCCAATGCCTACATCCACGGACAGAAATGAGAATTTTCACTAAAATGGAGCAAAATACAAAATACAGAGGAGGAGATGAAACTCACTCAACTCACAGCTCTTTACTCTCTAATTTCTGATATCTCTCATCCTCTCCCTCCCATCTCTATTTATACACAAAAGGAGTAGGTGGGAGAGCCTTCATTCTTGACTTGGGTAGCCTCCATTCTTGACCCTTGCTAAGGTTGGTGGCTGCCAAGCTTGACTTGGTTGGTTCCCATGTTTTTCATGCATGTGGGTTGGAACAACAGTTTGTGTGCCCTAGCACTTGTCCTGGTGGATGTGAAGTAGATTGCGTCTCTTGTAGGCCTGTCTGCAGTAAGTCTTTCTCCATAATACTAAATTTTAATTGTTATTACATCGTGACATTGTTAAAAAGGTTCACCATTTAATTTTGGGGCTCATTACACTTTTATAGTCCCTCAATTATGCCATTGGGGTTTTGGTTATCAATATTTTAGCAATAAAGTTAAGAATAATAATGAATATACCAACTAGATACATTATTAGATGGGCTCGTTGCTAAGTTTGTTTATTTGTTTTTTTTGTTTTTTGTTTTTGGGCGCTAAGTGATAGACCAAACACTGTTATGGTGTGTTTGGTTGAGGGATTTGAGAAGGGATTTAGAAAGGGACGTGAAGATAAATTTATTTGGTAATTATTCCATAATTTTAATCGTTTAAATCAAATAATGGAGTCAATTATTAAAAAAAGTAATTATTCCATAATCTTAATTGTTTATAATATAATTAATATATTATTCTTAAATTTTAAGTAAATTTGATTTGATCCTTTCAAATCTAAATAAAATTTTTTTTTGTTGTTGTTATTCCTTGAAATCTCCTCTAGATTTTGTACTTATCCCAATATTTTTTTTAATTGCTCTTTATAATTGAATATTACCAAAAGAGTAATGTTAAAAGTCAAGAATTCAGACACAAAAAGAAAAAATAATATGTAATCTAGATTTAATTCTTGTATGGTGAGAATTCACACATTTATTTTTCTTAATATTTTTCTTTATAATAAACATTCATTTTACATTATTGTAATCATATATTTCATCAATATCAGTTATAATTTATATATATATATATATATTAAAATCAATAAAATTATGGTATTTCTTAAGAACATGTACCATAATTTAACACCATTATATAATTAAAATCATGATATTATAAGAAGTTTTAAATTCAAGAAAAAAGAATCAAAACAAAAGTATTAAATAATTATACGCAACGCTGTTGTAAAAAAATATATATCAAAAGATAATTTGGCTTCCCTCAATTAAAAATTCTGATTCCATTTCTGAACATAGTATTCGTACCTGAACGTAGTATCTTGGTTGGTACGTGAGTTATTCTTAATATTATTGTTTGGTTTTAATTTTTTGAATTCAGTTTTTTGAAATTGAATTTTCTATTTTTAGTGAATATTTTTAAAATTTTCAGCTATTTTTTTTTTTACTTTTTAGATGCACTTTACTTAAATATATCTAAATAGTAAAATATTTATGAAAAAATTAATAAATACACAAAAATAAGAAAAATATATGAAATTTCTGTATTTTTTTTTGTATTTTTAATATTTAGCGAATTTTTTTAAAGATTTTTTTTCACAAATATTATACTTTTTAAGTATATTTATGTTAGGTGTGTGTCTAAATGTTTTTTTTTTTTGAAAATTGCTTAAAATATTAAAAAAATTCATTGAAAATAAAAAATATGAAAAATTGCTTAAATTTTCTAAAAAGTGATTTCTGAAAACTAAAACCAAATAAACTATAATATTTTAGTTGCGTTAATTTTGATCTCAAAATATTAAATGTACGTTAAAGTGGGGGTTCCTATTGACAATGCCACCAGTATTCATAATTAGTTTAAGAGATATCTTCCGAACAAAAAATTATACCTCAATAAATAAAAGTAAAATAAAAATCAACCCTTTACAAATTGACACAGTTGACATGTTGGAACCAAAATTATACAAAATCCATATTTTATGGACCAAAACTATATTATTTTTTTGCTAACGTATAATTTTTGTTCAAAAAATATGAACAGTGATGGCGTACATGTCAAGCTTGTGAATAATTTTAACACACATCTAATCATTTACCCAGCTGAAATATTGAGTACTAAAATGATACAAAATATATAGTTATGAAATCAGGGTTTTATTATTGGAGAGACTGAAAAAAAAAAATTACTATATATACAAATACACACACATATATATACATAGAAAAAAAAATTAAATAGCATAGAAACAATCTCTAATAGGATGGAGACGTTTTTTGATACAAAATAGAAAAAGAAAACAAAATGATAGAATAATAAGATATATATACTGGAAAGTCATTTTATGTATAAAACGATATATATTTTTTTAAAGTGCTTTGACAAATAGTATTTTTCATAGAAAAAGGGGGGGCCATAGCCTCCTATAATCTTCTCCTAATTCCATCCCTAGTCGTTGGGCAAAAACTTTTTTATTGACTTTTTAGAGTTGAAACTTTTTTAGTTTGGAACTAAAAAGTTTGTTTGGATTAACTTTTCTAACTTTTGTGAAAAAAAATATAAAATTATAATGATTTAGATGTGACATTTTATTTTATTAACTTTTTAGTTTATTTTAACTTTTAGTGATTAATTTAGTTCCAACCATGATTACCAAACGAAGTCATAATTTATTGACCAAAAGTAAAATTAATTTTTGAATTTATAAAAAAAATTACAATTGGCATGACTATCGACACAAATTAAAACACTGCAAGATTGGGATTTGTTTTAAAGATGATCTGCATATGGATATGTGTCACACATTTCACTTTTTTATTATTTTTTTATTTTGCCTTCGTTTGGGAAATAGATTTGTTTTTTAATTTTTTTTTTTTGACTATTTTAGTTTGGAGTTAAAAAGTTTCATTTGAAAATAATTTTTTGACTTTTTAAAATTTTTGTAAAAGAAAAAATATAATAATTATGAGTTGAATGTGATGTTTTATTTTATTAAATTAAAAAATCTATTTTTTTTTTTTATACCTAAAATAGCCCCAAACCCAACTTAACCCATCTTTCCAAACAAAGGCTTTTTATTTTTTTTTACATATTTTGTGTTTCAATTTTTTTATGCACCTTATAATACATTTTTTGGGTATATGTTTCGCAATTCTGTGGCAAATGTTACAAATAAATTTATGCATTTTTGTGATTAAAAAATGTTTCAATTAATATATATATATATATATAAAATATTGTCACAAAATTATATAATAATTATTATTTTTGTTTGGTAGCATCACCTCACCCTATATAGGTCCTGTTTGGTGGTATTTTTTTAAATTAAAAGTTAATAATCAGAATGTAGAAATTGAAAACACTCATTTCTTAGCTTTCAAATAATTAATTTATTTAAGTTATTTTTACTTAATAAATTATAAGCATAATCTACACTAAATAGTTTAATACAGAATCACAAATTAAAATAAGTTATAATCCTCTCTTAAAAGATGTAACAAATAACCCTGGGAAATTCTATTTTGTACATTCCACCATTTTACTATTTAATTATGACTAATTTTTTTTAATTATAACTCTTAAATTTTTTAATAATTTTTAGTTATAACTTTTTATTTTTATTTTTAATTATGATTCAAAAAATTGTAGAATTATATCATTTTATTATTAGTGAGACCATCTCTAATCCTGAATCAAATTTGGCATCAAATTTAAAATTTGGTGAAAAAAATATTTTTTCATGCTCGGTTTCACCAAATTGATATCAAATCGAGATTTCACCAAACGTTTCACCAAAATGAGGACAGGCTCCGCATTTCATCAAAACATTGTGCATGATCGTTGGAGGAGACCAACCGGTCGACCATCAAAAGGTTCAAACAGTTTCAAAAAAAAGGTCAAACAGTTGAAAAAAAAAATATATATTTTTGTCTTACCGGTCAACCATTAAAAGGTTAAAAAAGTTCAAAAAAAAAAATTTTTTTTTAGCTTAACCGGTCGACCGGCCGATCGACCAATCGGTTATCCTAGCACAAATTTGATAAAAATCAATTGTTAAAGCGGTATCAAATTGAGAAAAAAATCATTTTTTTACCCAGATTTAATGAAAACTTTAGTTCAGATTGGAGATGGTCTAATATTTTGGTGAAATTGCAGAGTGTGACATGCCGGGAGCAGTATGCCAAGACCCCCGTTTCATCGGCGGCGATGGAATCACATTCTACTTCCACGGCAAGAAGGACCGAGACTTCTGCCTGGTCTCCGACTCCAACCTCCACATCAACGCCCACTTCATCGGCAAACGAAGCCTCAACATGACTCGAGACTTCACTTGGGTCCAATCCATCGCCATCCTATTCGACACCCACAAACTCTTCCTCGGCGCCCTCAAAACCTCTTCATGGGACGACTCCGTCGACCGCCTCTCCCTCTCATTCGACGGCCAACCCATCTTCCTCCCTCTCAACGGCGGCGCACGGTGGCGCTCAGCAGCCTCGCCGGCCGTTTCCATCAGTAGAATCGGCGACACAAACAGCGTGAGCGTTGAAGTGGAAGGGAATTTGAAAATCACAGCGAAGGTGGTGGCGATCACAGAAGAGGATTCGAGAATTCACAAGTATGGGGTGACGAGAGATGATTGTTTTGCTCATTTGGATCTGGGGTTTAAGTTCTTGGATCTGAGTGATGGTGTGAGTGGGGTGTTGGGACAGACTTATGGGAGAGATTATGTGAGTAAAGTGAAGATGGGTGTGTTGATGCCTGTGATGGGAGGAGAGAGAGAGTTTGCGACTTCGAGCTTGTTTGCTGTGGATTGCTCTGTTGCGCGATTCAGAGGTCAGAGAGAGGCTGATTCTCTCATGGGTTTGGAAGCGGCGGGGTTGAGGTGTGGGAGTGGTATGGGTGGCCAAGGAGTTGTCTGCAAGAGATAGATAGACATGATTCTCTCTCTCTCTCTCTCCATATACATATATATATATATACATATTTGGTTTATGTAATTTTATGAAATGTGAGTAATAAAGGTGTGGAAGCCATTCGAGATGGTCTCCTCTGATTGATTGAATAAGGGGACTTCGATGTTAATTGGACTCTGGAATATGATTATATTGTTTTATGTTATATCAAGAAAATCTTGCACCTCCTGAAGGGGAAAAAAAAAATTTATGTTGGCACATGGGATGGAAGTGAAACTTGTACCAATAATTATATTTACATACTTGTATTTAGAGATGTGAGTACTTTGAGAGGAAAATTATAAATTAAATGCTAGATTAGTAGATTGGCAAATTATGATTTGAGCGATTTTTGACAGATTAGATGATTGAAAAATATTTTAAATAATTATTATACATTTGCATAGTCGGCTTTTTAGCTTTTTTAACTTGGGCTAAAAAATTTGGTTTAGAAAGGGCATTTTGATTTTTTGGCTTTTTTGACTTTTTTTGTGAGAGAAGAGTGTAATGGTTATGAGTTGGATGTGATGTTTTGTTTGTTGTGGCTAAAATAGCTACAAAAGCCCTTGCCAAATGGAACATTATGGTAATTTGTATAATTTTTTTCGATATATAACACAAAGTAATTTTACATAATATGTTTCATATATATAACTACTAATTTGTAATAAATTTCATATTTTAAATCTCTCTCACACTCATTTTTACATTGATATTTCATTAGAGCTTAAAAAATATATATGTATTAACTATAGCGGAACGGAATGGTTTAGTTGATTGATTATAAATTTTAAAGTTTAAACTACAGTTAGCGGTTAGAACAGTGCAAATTCATGCGAATCGGTGCAATTTTAGCAGATCGGATGATATTTTGCATAGCTTTACTTGTATCCTTCATGTGTTGATAATTTTTTTTTTCCCATTCTATCACCAGCACATAATTCCCCCTTGTATTAACCTGAATTTGTTGTTTAATTCATTTCTTCTTATTGATTGGGAGTTGGATTGGCAACATGTTATTTTAGTTTATTTTTTAATTTTTTACAAAAGACATAAAAAAAAAAAAATAGAGCAAGCGATGCAATGATTTGATTTGATTTTTTTGATTATTTTAGCCAACAAACCACTCTCCAAACAATATTTGAATGTTGTTATTTAGGCTCCGTTTGGGAAGAAAAAAGCCAGGCTTTTTTGGCTAAAATAGTCACAAAAAATAAAATAGGCTATTTTAGACACAAAAACACAAAATATCAAATCCAACCCATAATCATTACAATCCTCTCTCACAAAAAAAGTTAAAAAAGCCAAAAAGCCAAAAAGCCCTTCCCAAACCAGGCTAAAATAGCCAAAAAGCCAAAAAGTCAAAAAGCCAACCCACTTCCCAAACGGAGGCTTATGTTTATTATTAATACAATAATATATCGTATAATATAATAAATAAAACCCTCCCTCTCTGAGCCTTCAGCTGGGTGTGTCGCTTGGGAAGGGGGGGTGTTCCGATTGCTGGTCTACTCTCTCATCCTTCCATTCCATTTTTCTCATTTTCTTTGTCTTTTTACTTAATAATATTGGAAGCTTGTTCTTCCAATTATTTTTGGCGCTGCCACCACTATATTGTCGCCAGTTCTGTCATGTTCTAGCCTCCATGGATCCACCCTCACTAGATCTGCCTCGTCTCTTTTAGATTTGGCTTTGAACACTAGTGTTGGCTTCGCCTCTCCCTCTTTTTGATCTTCTAGATCTGATATTTGGTTTGTGCCCAAAATTTTATTCCTGCGCCCAAAACTTTAAGATATGATTTCAGATTTTCTCACAATTTAAAGACCAACGTTGTTTAACACTTTTGTTTCACGATAACCTTAATGTTCCATATTACCCAACGGGAATGGAGTTTTTAGATTTCAAATTGAAGGTTGCAGTGTAATAAAGTTTTGGATGTGTTTGGTGACTTGAATCTGATTATTTTTAGTTTGATTTTTTATTTTTTTATTATTTATTGTAATAATCCTCGTGTGGAGATTGTGTCTCTCTTTTGTGAGAGTTTTTCTCGTCCTCTATGGATGTTTGGATTCTTCTTCCTATGAAAATTTGTTATCTCTTTATGAGATCTTTTATTACTGTTGTATGAGATTGAGTCGATTTTTTATTATTTTGCAATAAAGATTTTCTTTCCGATCTAAATATATATATATATATATATATAAAATATAAATATGATCATTATAACATACTTCAATAAAAAAAAGAAAAATGAGAGGATCTCCTTCAATCCAGAGTTTAGACTAGAGGGCACTGTTCGGGCTCGTGGGGCTCATCCTGAGCCCCATTTTGATGATCCAAGTTGTTTATTTTGTCGGACACGTCGTGTATTTTATCCACACAAAAAATTAAGTTGATCCAATAACCGTAACTTACTCAATTTATTGCGTTTTTAACGAAAAAAATATGTATTTTTAAAAATAAACCATACATTTTTTTGATTAAAAATGCGATATATTGAGTAAGTTACAATTATCGAATCGACTTAATTTTTTTGTGTGAATGAAAGATACAAAGTGGCTTTCAAAATGAACAATTAAATTATCGAAATGAGACTCGTAATAGCCCTCGCAACCCAAACAACGCTCCCCAATATAAAATCTGGACTCCATAAAAGAAACAATGGCAAAACTATACAAATTGTAGAGAAATGAGCTCGAGCTCACAAACGTGGAGGCTGTAAAATTTATAAATATGAAAATAATTTAATTCTATAATTATAGAAACTCAATGACTAATTTAACAAAGAGGTCTATTAAAGTTAATTACACAGCAAAATTCAAAAATTAACCCAACGAAAAGGATTGATGCTAAGCCTTCTTGGTACAAGTATATAAGAGTGATCAACTCAGATTGACCCCAAAGCCTTCTGGATAAGAGCATATAAAGAGTGATAAATTGAATTAAAATAAAAATTAAACTGTTTATTTTAAAAAATAAAATTTTAATTTATTTTTTGAAAACAAAGGGAATAAATTAAATAGATTATTTTTGGATAAATTACAGATACATCTTCTCAGATTTTCTTAATATACAAATTATCTCATGTGGTTTGAAAAATTACAAATATCTCATTATCAGAATGTTTTTATTTAATAAAAATCAGGATCCTGTCCTTCATCTCTCTCCTTAACTCCTTACTTGTTGGGCCGAACCGTTCACATTTTAAGATTTGTTTTATATTATACTTGTAAAAAATCAAGTTGATCGGATATCAGAGACTACGTGTCTAACTAATATCTTATATAACAATAAAATTAACTAAATTGTTAAATGAAATATATTTCTGACATTATTAAAAATTGTTAACTGACTTGATGATTTCTTAATAAAATATGTCATTGATTATGCAATTATAAATTTGAAGGGACAACATTTACCTTGTTTGGTTTTTGGTTTTCAAAAATATTTTTTTGAGTATTCAATTCTTATTTTTATATTTTAAATATTATAATCAATAATTTTTAATTTTTAAATTCAGTTAATCTTAATATACTTTAAAAGTAAAAAATTTGTACAAAAATCTTTAAAAAAATTTATTGAATACAACAAAATATGAAAATGTATTGAATTTTTGTATATGGTGAATTGTTTTTTTGTATTTTTTTTCATAAATATTATACTTTTTATGTATTTAGATTAGGTGCATTTTAAAACAAAAAATTTATGTAAAATATTAAAAAAAAATCACTAAAAACAAAAAAACACATAGTGGTTCGTATTTTAAAAATGTAGGATATATTTGTAATTGGTAAATGCTAATAAGTGCTCCTATGCATATTTTAATATTAGAAAGTGTGTATAAAGAATCATGAAAATATGTAAAACTATTGAAAATTGTATTGATTTTAGTAAATATGTATTGAATTTAGTGAAATTTGTCTTGTGGTTTTTAAATTGTTTGTCTTTTACTTATACCCTAGGAATACTTGTTAGCAAGATCCTTTATAAGTTGGGTTAGGTTTCTCTTATGTTGTGATCTTAACATGACAGAACTTAAGAGGCTTGTAGAGTTTAACACAGGTCTTCTTTTAATGATTCAAACCGTTCATTTTGTAAGTCTCGTAATGTATATTATCAATGAAAAAATTTAGAACAATCCGATAATCGTAACATTTTTATTTTATTGCATTTGTCTCAAAAAAATAGATTGTCAATTTCTAATACATATTTGTCGTCATTTTTGCAGAGACAAATGCAATAAAATGAAAAAGTTATGATTGTTAGATCGAACTATAATTTTTTTTCATAGATAATATACATTGTAAACTTTACAAAATGAACGGTTTGAATTATTGAAATGAGACCCGTGTTGGGTCCTATAAACCCCTTAAATTTTGTCATGTTGAGATCCTAACATGAAGCCTATCCTTGTAGTTAACATATTATTTTTTTAGGATAAATTACACTTACCTTCCCTGAGATTTCTGACAATTACAAGAACCTTCCTTGTTTCAATAATTACACTAAGCTCCCTTACTTTTGAAACTATTGTCAAGTTTTCCCTATTATTAGGCTATTTAACAGAAATTGTTGATGTTATGATAATGTCATACCAAAAATGAAGAAATTACACATTAATTACTTTATCTATTCAAATAAGAAATTTCACTCACCTCCCTTCAAGTTTTGCATATATACTATCAAAAATTCATATACATATATTATGATTATTTAATAAAATTCTTAAATTTCATGCAATATTATATAAAATCTTTAAATTGTTAAGACTTTATTAAATCATTTAATGCAAAAAAAAAAAAAACTTAATTTTTATTGATGAAATACTTAAAACTAAATAATCTCTCTAAAATTAATGTTAGATAACAGCTTAATAATTTAATGTAAGTTTTATTTCACACCACATAAATAAACTAAAAAACTACCTTTTTTGTCAGCTAAGAAGAGCCAAAATCATCCATGCTCATATAGAGAAAATGGAAAATGAAAAATGAAAAAGGGAGACATGGAGAAAATGAAGCTGTGAGCTGAATGCTTTACTGTTCATATTACATTTTTCAAAAACTCTAAAAAAAAAAAAAAAAAAAAAAACTCTACTTAGTCACATGGTTGTATTAGTGTTAATGGAATTTTATTTTTTCAATTAGTGGACAATTAGGATTTAAATTCAACTCATTCCTTTGCAACTTTTTCTTATCAATCAACCAGAGCATAACGGAATTGAATTTTTTTAAATGTTTATTTTTCCATTATGTTGCACTTTTCTTGTGGTTGATCAGTAGATATCAAAATATGAAATTGTTAATTATGTTTGAGAATTCATGCAACGTAAGATCCTTGGAAATTTCCATTCATCGGCTTATAATCTGTGTCTGTTCATGCAACTGAATATAATTGAGATTGTGAAATTTGATAGCATTCATATATCATATGTGTGTATTCAGGGGGAATATAATTGTGAAATTGTGCCGTGGGCAAGAACTGAGGTTGAGAGCCATAGCCAGAAAAGGCATTGGCAAAGACCATGCAAAATGGTCACCTGCAGCAACAGTTACTTTCATGTATGAGCCAGAGATCCATATCAATGAAGATATGATGGAGACTTTACCACTTGAAGATAAAAGAAATTGGGTTGAAAGTAGTCCCACCAAAGTGTTTGACATTGATCCTAACACTCGGCAGGTTGGTTGAAACATCACACACAAGTTTAAAATGTGGGTTTTGACATTGTCCTGAGAGTAATGTATTATGTGACTTCTATAAGTTGGCTTCTAGAAGCATTGCAATGTTTGCCTTCTTTGTTTGGGTGTCCTTTTGAGTACTAATAACATTTGATGGGGCAATCTGCTTATATGACATGGAAATCGTTTCAAGGGTGAAGTATTAGTGGTGGAAACAAGATGACTACCAGTATATTTGTTGACACATTGGCTATCAAACTTATTTCCATAAGTAATTTTAGGTGGAAGAGAGGACAGCTAGTTTTTTAATTATCTACAAGATGCTTTCTTAATCGTATGTCAAATGAATATCTCAAAACCCGTCAAATACTTTTTGTGTTGCATTTTCCATTTAATATAAATACTTCATTTCATCCAATCCTATGAGATAAAAGGCATAGAGCTGAACATTGCAACAATCTAGTTGTGTCTGCGCTGGTAGGATTTGGAGAGTAAATGAAATTGATGTTCAGACAGAAGACTTCACCTGCCATGGAACAATTCTTGTAACATAAGGTACTACTTATTTCCTTGACATTTTTCTGTGTATGCTACAAGTAACTCTGTGAGGTCCAGATAAGAAGCAGTCGGTAGAAGTTTTGAGGAAGCAATGCTGGCTTCTCATAAAATGTTTCAAATTTGTTGATGATAATCTTACATTTGCGCAAAAAATCTTCTCAAATATACATCCATTTAGTTTGGTTTGAGTAGGATTTCAACCTTGCAGAAATTTTATACAAATTCTTCTTAGGTGACAGAAATGTGTTACATAAAATGATTGACAGATATCCTGGAAATTGATGTACTTTTTTTTAGCTTCAAGTGCTCTGACTTGGCAGAAATGGTCAAGAAAAACCATGGCTAGAAGTCATTGAACATTTAAAGAAAGGGGATTTTTAACTCATATGTTCATCATACCAAAAGTTTAGTCGGTTTTAGGTGAGGCTTGACGTTTGCAACCAACAGAGGTCATCCAGCTGATACTAACAAACCCTAGGCTGCACAAGACAGCAAACTTTAGATTTGTCCAAATGGCAGGATGTGGATATGGAGATGGAACATTATTGCTTGAAATGGGTAGGTTAACTAGATATGAATCATATGATTTATCTTATTAATGCTGGGGGTTATTGGGCTAGGTTTGGGCTTGGGCTGTAGGTTCTCCGGGTTTTCAGTTGTGATTTTTTTACTTACCCCCCAAAAAAAAGGTATGTTCTCCTGACTGGCACAATATGCAGATGGAAGTTGGAACTTGAAGTGGAAGACTTGGATGCGGAGAGGATTGCGGCCAATGTGCATAAGAGTGGGAGAATTTAGAATGCAATTTTCATAAATGATTAAATGGCAACCACCAGTTTGTGGCTTCAGTGTCATTCGCGTTTAATGGCTTTACTACATTTCAGTTTATGACCATGAAAATCACGACTTATTAAAATTAAAAAATTGTTGCTAAATTCACTGAGGTCTTCATCCTGCTTTGAACTATTAACTGAATTCCAAGAATGAGAGCGCTTTCTGAATTCTACAATGAAATGTCTTTAACCATAGTGAAATATCATGGTTCTTACAAATCAGGATCATCAGCAGAAGGCCTTGGACTGGATGATATTTTGTAGTTCCTCAATATATTTATCAGATCTGTTGTGCTATTTCTTACACATCATGACCATTAGCAAAAGGCCCCTGATAGGGTGATATTTTATAGTTCCTCAATAGGTTTGGCCCAGATCTTCCATTCAATTTGTTGTGTAGTTTTGTTTTTTTTTTTTTTGGGATTTTGTTCCTTGGCTTTTTAAATGTTACATAAGATCCATTTATGTAATCCATCCTTCAAATAAATCTACTGGTGCAGTCAAGCTTCTCAGTTGTTGCTTAATGCAATAGAAGTTCTTAAGCAAAAGCTGGATGCAGTTCACCTTTCGGAGGATACTGTAGAAGCCAACAAACAGTATGGCAAGTTGGGTGCACATATGCGAGGAGGTTGATCTCTTTGTTAGACCAGGTTCCTCGGTTGATTTCCTTGGATTTTAAGGAAGTTAAATTGCTTCTGTTTGCCTTCTGAGAGACATGTTTTGTCTAGGTATCGTCTTGCAAATTCTTGATCACTTAGATTATGGATAATAATCTTATCATCAGTATGTATGCTTTGAAACTTTTGGGAAATAGTTAACTTGTGTTTTCCTTGTTGAACATGTGATGATGCTTTTAATTAAACCTGCAAGAAGTCCATTAAAATGTAGGATAGATTGCCTCCATATTGATTCCTTGTTTAAACCATGTTGTGCTGGCTTTGTTGTTATATCACTTTCGGGGTCACTTGATGGATTTCTTGAATGAATGGTTAAGCTTTTGTATTATCAGGTTGTATATCCTACGAGTTTTATAGTATCACGTAACTAGCATTTTATGAATTTGGAACGGTGAAAGGTTAAACTCTCACTTCAGATCTTAAATGCTAGATTAGCTTACCCTTATTCCAGTGTTTACATGCACCTCTCTTTATATTCACAGTGGCTATGCGATTTTCACCCCTACTCTCTACAGCTTGACTCACAATGTGACTAATGTCACCCTTTGTTCTTGGAGGGAAGGTACATCAGCCTGCTGTGTGAGCTTCTCTCGGATTTATTTTGATAATTCAAATTATTCATATTGTAAAATTTATTAAGCAAATCATTTATAAAATAAGTTAAATTGATCGGACACTTGTAATCACACGAATAAAAGTTTGAATTGTTTTTTAAAAAAAAAATATTAGGGGTTAATTGGTGAAAAATCCATTATGGAGCCAAATGTTATTTAGTTAGTTTACTCTTTTTTAGTGATAAGCACACATTGAAAAGTCGTCGGAAAAGTCAACCAGCACTAGAAAAGTCATCGAAAAATTGGTTGGACGGCAGTTGGTGGCAATGAGATGGACAAATAGGTGACGTGTATAAATAGTGTGCATTTGAACAAATAATTGTATAGATAGGTGACACATATATAGATAATGAGATATTTGAACAGACAGTTGCAAGATAGATGGCACAGATATTTGGATAGATAGATAAGCTCTGAACAAGTGTTATTTTAGACAAATAAATGTCATTTTGGGCCAAATAGATTTAAGTTTACTATCAAAATAAATGGTTGTTGTTTCTTCTTCCTTTTTATTTTTTTTTATTATATATTCTTCCTTTTTTTTTTTTTTTATTATATATATATATAAATGTAATCTTGTTATGCAGCTACAAAGCTCTTATTAACTTATTTTTTTTCATAAATAATAGTAAATGATATGTTTGACGAGTTTTACAATATGAATAATTCAGATCATTAAAATAGATTCGGGACAAGGCGAATCGAGTAGCACAACAGCAGTCCCTCTTCATGTTTTTCTGCTTGATGGATAGATGGATGGTTGAAAAACAAACATGGGGAAGAGTGGTTGAAAGTTCTACCGATTGAAAAACTCATGAGTCTAATTATCCAAATTTTTTTTTTTATTTTTGATCGATTCCAATTACCCACTTTGATAACATATATTTCTCATTCATGCTGTTCAAGTTTAGGACTTGTTTGTAAAGTGTTAAATTAGTATACTTCTTAACTTTTTATGAAAAAGTGTGAAATAGTGATGTTGTAGAGAGGTGGACCTAAATAAGAGATAATGTGACTCAAATAAAATAATTGTGATCTAAATAAGATAATGTGTTAAAATAACATGCACTATTTTAGCACATGTCAAACAAACTCCTAGTTTGATTCTCATTCATGTCGACTAAGAGTGATAAACGAGCTACAGTTAACTGTTCAAGTTTAGTTTGATAGCTTTAACGAATTTTAAAATTTGTTTATGTTGGTTGTTAAATTTTCGAACTAATCTCAAATAAGTTTTTATCAAGTTGAGCTTAATTAGTTTGGTAATTTTATATAGTTTTTACTTATCGTGCCGAACTGAATGAGTAATTGACTATTCAAATTTGATTTGAAACTTTAACGAGTTTCAAAATGCGTTTAAATTTAGCTTGTTTACTTAACAAATTGAACTCAAACGAGTTTTTAATGAGTCTAACATGAATTGAGTTTGAATTGTTTGATTCGTTTATCACATTTCATGTACACTAGTCTGTGTGTGTGTGTGTGTTTTTTTTTTTAAAAAAAATTAAAAAGCACTTATCATTTTTATTTTTGAATGATATAATTTTTTTTTAAAAAAAAGGGAAATTACAAATACACCATTTGTGGTTTACTTAAAATATGAATTGTCCATTGTGATTTGGAAAATAATAAATATCTTCTTGTAATTTTTTTTATTTAACAAAATTAATTAAAAAAAATTATTCACTATTTACCTATATAATAATAAAATTATATAAATTATTAATTGAAATATATTTCTAACATTATTAAAAACTGTCAATTTACTTGATGATTTATTGATAAAAGGATTATTTGTTACGAAATTAGAAACTTCAAAAAATAAGATGTAATTTCTAGAATCACAGGAAACAATTCATATTTTAAGCAAAATTTGAGGAGGTGCATTTATAATTTATCCTAAATAGTTCAAGAATAACTGTGTTGTCTCCTAAAAACTAAATTATTTAAAAATAAATAACATTCCAAATGAAATTTATAAAAATAAAAAATAAAAAAACAATTTGAACAATTTGCAAAAGAATAAAATAACATGCACTATTTTAGCACATGTCAAACAAACTCCTAGTTTGATTCTCATTCATGTCGACTAAGAGTGATAAACGAGCTACAGTTAACTGTTCAAGTTTAGTTTGATAGCTTTAACGAATTTTAAAATTTGTTTATGTTGGTTGTTAAATTTTCGAACTAATCTCAAATAAGTTTTTATCAAGTTGAGCTTAATTAGTTTGGTAATTTTATATAGTTTTAGACTTATCGAGCCGAACTAAATGAGTAATTGACTATTCAAATTTGATTTGAAAACTTTAACGAGTTTCAAAATGTGTTTAAATTTGGCTTGTTTACTTAACAAATTGAACTCGAACGAGTTTTTAATGAGTCTAACACGAATTGAGTTTGAATTGTTTGATTCGTTTATCACATTTCATGTACACTAGTTTGTGTGTGTGTGTGTGTGTTTTTTTTTCTTTTTCTTTTTATTTTTATTTTTTATGTTTATAAAATTAAAAAGCTCTTATCATTTTTATTTTTTAATGATATAATTTTTTTTAAAAAAAGGAAAATTACAAATACACCATTTGTGGTTTACTTAAAATATGGATTGCCCATTGTGATTTAGAAAATAATAAATATCTTCTTGTAATTTTTTTTATCTAACAGAATTAATTAAAAAAAAATTATTCATTATTTACCTGTATAATAATAAAATTATATAAATTATTAATTGAAATATATTTCTAACATTATTAAAAACTGTCAATTGACTTGACGATTTATTGATAAAAGGATTATTTGTTACGAAATTAGAAACTTCAAAAAGTAAGATGTAATTTCTAGAATCATAGGAAGCAATTTGTATTTTAAACAAAATTTGAGGAGGTGCATTTATAATTTACCCTAAATAGTTCAAGAATAACTGTGTTGTCTCCTAAAAACTAAATTATTTAAAAATAAATAAAATTCCAAATGAAATTTACAAAAATAAAAAAATAAAAAATAAAAAAACAATTTGCAAAAGAATCACCTTGTTTGGTTTAATTATTGAAAATTGTTATTGTTCTTTTTTAGTGAACTTCTTCATATTTAAGTCTAAAAAAAAAAAAAACACACACTCCTAACTGCACATAATCTAGATGAACTTTAAAGAGTACAAGTTTTTTCAAGATAAATTGCAAATTAATGGTAAAACTTACCGACTTTAATAATTATAATGATAAACTTTTCCACAATTTTGCAATTTATTTTTGGTCTTGCGATTTTTCCAACTTTAAAAGTAAATTATTTGTGAATGAATCCAAAAAAGGCTCCCTATAAAATTGAAAATATGGTTTTTACTATTTGTTTTTAGTCAAATTTTTTACTATTTAAGTGCATTTTTAAAAAAAAACCACAAAACACAATATGAAAAACAAAATATACTCAAAACAAATTTTGAATTTAAAAGTTAAAGTATTTTCTGAGTTTTTCAGAAATGAAAACAAAAATATAATCAGACAAGCCCATATTTGTTGAACTACCAAGTAAAAATAAGCTGTGAGGCAAATCTGAATGAAAAGAAGCAGAATTTTATACCAATAGTGTGTATTTAAAAAACTTACAAATACTGTGAACCAAATTTACACTTAGGCCAAGTTTGGCATCTACTAAATAATACAAAAAGTCAAAAAGTCACTATCCTATTTAAGTCACATCACCTTATTTAAATCACATCACCTCTCTATTACATCACATCAAACCCAACCCAAACCCAACCCATATAAGCCAATAAGTCAAAAAGTGCACTTTTTTAGAACATTCCAAACCCTTACAAATACTGTGAACCAAATTTACACTTAATAATTGATATATATATATATATATAAATTTATTTGAAGAATATGAATTTCACATGAAAGGGGTGTGCAAATGAGATTCCCATTACATGTGCCAATCTCATTCCACTTGGGACATAACACAATTACATTAGGTGTTATGGACGCACTCAAACAACGGAATTAAGGAGGCCTAAATGAGATTACGAGGAACAACCGTCTATATTGGGCCGTCTCATACTGGGGAGATCTATCATTTGCCCTTAAATCCTTAAATTTAAAAATTTTGAAATTTTGCAATCCCAACAGTTTTTTGAAATAACCAAGAACAAATGATTTAAACACAACTCCTCAAATCTAATGAACTGTGTGTCCACCATTTAACAACAACACACCTTACAGACAACCCAACAACAACAACAAAAAAGGGCCTAGCTAAAAGGGCAAATAAAATAAATGTTATGAAAACATACTGAAAACACAACATATCAACAATTTTCACTAACAAGCACCAGAAAAATTTGTCATCAGAAGCATTGAAACCTGGATGATGAAGAAGAGCATAGACCTACACAGTGTATCGCTAAACTGCAGACCTTGTTTCTTCACTCCAGATGCTTTGGCTCAGTATGGTGGTGGAGGATAGATTCCTGGGTACGCACCTAATTGGAAAGCAAAATAAATACACATTCAGAAATTATGACATGGTGGATGGCAAAAGTAGAGTTTTTGACCAAATCCATGCCCTTTTAAAATAAATTTCCCAAACCTAAGTAATTTTGAACTAATTTCCCAAATCCGTTTTGTGAAGTTGAGGTTTCATGTTTTCATTAAGGCCCAGGCTTCATGTTTGGGACAAATACGTTTCATGTTTTCATGAAATAACGTGTTTTCAAAATAAGACCTCAAACTTTATGAGGTTGTGTTTTGCCTGAAGTCTGAAATTGTGTTTCAGATTTGAATTTGTGATTTGAAAAAATGACTTTATTAATAACATGTTTTCAAAATACTTCAATTACAGTAAACACTTCTTCACGAAACAAAATGAGTTTAAGAAATAAGTTCAAAACTGCACAAATTTCGGAAATTAGTTTTAAAATGGCAATGGTTTGGCAAACAAAACTCCTCAAGAGTATGGACCGGAAAGAAGAGTTACCTGGAGGATAATAGGGCGAGGCCTGTGGGGGTGGTGGATATGATGGTGAGGGATATGCTGAAGGTGGTGGGTATGGTGAAGGATAAGCAACTGGCTGAGGTGGAGGATATGAAGCTTGTGGATACGCAGCTGAATTGGGTGGGTATGAAGTGTATGGCGATGGCGCCGGGTAAGTAGCAGCTGGTGGTGTATAATAAGGGGCTACAGATGCTTGCGGTGGTGTAGAATACATGGGAGCGTGGTGGGCACCCTGTGCTACATATGGTGGAGCTGATGGAGCATAGCTTGCAGCTGGCTTCTGCAATAAAATTTAAAGAATCATCATGTTAAAATTCAATGCCATAGTACTCACAAATTCACAATTGGGTAATGGTAAATTTACATAATTTACTAAGCAATATAGTACAGAACATGGAGCTTACTTTGGCATTTGGATAATGCAGTACGAGTCTTACTTCTCCTGCATGTCTGTAAGGAGGATAAGAAGTAGAAAGATTGAAAAATGTGATTGTCCATTTATAGACCATTTGTCAAAATCTGCATGAAATAGCTAAATTGTACATGAACAAACAACATGCTACATTACACAAGACCAACAAAAAATAAAAAAGTAATTTGGTTTGATTAATAACTTGACCAGACTGTCTTGACATATTTTTTAGGAAGTTGAAACATTTTCAGATTCTAATCCACCTAATCTTAAATCAGAGAAGGATATTTTAAGATCTTTCTGGAAGAAATGAAGCCTACCAGTTGTCTTGTTCCCTTTAAGCCCAAATGACATGCTCCTCCCCTCTTTCAAAGGATCAAACAAAGAGACAACAAAAGGTTGAAAAGTAAAATTAGGGAAATGGATCACAAAATTTCCAAACCCAGCTTCCAACCCACAACTCCCTCCAAAGACAGATGCCTTTAATAGCTACGACGGGAAGCCCATTTTTTTCTTCTTTTACTCACAATCTCTTCACATTTTCTAATATTTGAATTTGCAATATTATTTAAAAGAAATTTAACATTTATATCTGGCGCTCATCACATATGCAGTGTTAAGTTTTTCAGAATTAATATTGGCTTCGCTTCCCAGTTTATGCTTACCACCTCCAACTTGAAATTCTCACCAAAATTCTATCAATTCCCTTCTATGCAAAACTAGAACTGTTAATTTAAAATCTCCCCCGAACTGGATGAGAATTCTTTGATATGCCTAGATGCACTGCCATAGTTGATATGAAATACGCTCAATCTTGCATGTAATACCTCGGTGCTAAGATGTATTATGTTTTTGCAGAATTTTCCACGACTTCTACAAACTTTTAAAGTGAATTGGTACCAGACAGATTTTTTGCAAAAACTCTCCAAGCTATTCCCGGTCATTACAACAGTAAAACTAACAAGGACAGCCAAGCACAATGGGCCCTTCCTCATAAAAATTCACCTCTTTAGGCACACAACTCACTTCAATCAAGAACTTGACATAGTAGATGGCTGAAGTGAAGAGAAAGAAGCTTGCTTCAACTATAATGTATGTTTAACTCCTAAATGTAAATCTGCAGCAAACTATTTTTCATTTATTTGCAATTAGGAGCAAATCTAATGAACCCATAGGATTCAACTAATCTGAAGGACAGTAAAAATATAGAAGGCAATTTCTAATTCACATTTTAACCACAATGACAAAGTTGAAAGATGGGGATAGTGAGTTTCTTCATTATTTTAGATAGTAAAAGCTGAAATATGGGTAAAGTATCTTATATATTATGCAAAGACATTGTTCATTACTAACCCCAAGTTAAGTGGGTTCATGTAACATCAAAAGAATTATATCAATATATTATCAGAAGATCAATTTCTAGGAACCAGCTCCTCTTTTACTCTCTTTCATAGTTTTAATTCCGCTAACCTTATAGTACCAGCTCACCCTGCATAGTTGATATTAAACTTGAGCAATGTTCAGTTAGTGAAGGTGGTGGATTAATACATGAACCAAACGACCTAGAATTTCTTTAGCAACACGATTAGAGCATTTCAGAGTGTATCGATGGTTTTGTTATTTCATTTATTTTCTCCTAGAAGCAAACCATAATTCTAAATTTAATCGAGAGATCACATTGGTTTTCAAATCATTCTTTCTTGGTATGGTCACCAAAATTCCTCCTTTTTCATGCTGTTCAGACAGGTCATTAAAAACAAAAAACCATCCCATACCGACATTTCCCAAGGAAATCCAATTCTATAACTTACACCGTTAGACAACCTCATAATAACCCAATTTATACAAGCGATGACATTGTATTACAATAATAATAATAAGCCAAAAATCTTTGAAAGCCATCAATATTGATAGTATGAATTATTAGAAGAGAGGATTTACCGGCCAGTTTTAGTCTGTAGCGGCCAACCGCTATCATCGTAACCCTCAGAAAGAACCTTTTGCAATTGAACCCTACACACACACACCCAAAAGAAAGTCAGACAAATCGAGACACAAACTCTAGCAGAAAGCTCAACAAAATAATAAAAAAAAAAAAAAAGAGAGAAAAAACTTACTTTCCGCTGCCAATGAAATCGTCGTAAGTTAGGGTATTGCTGTTCCAAACCACAAGATTGAGTTCTCGAAGCCCTTCAATCAGCGTGAAGGTGAATTTCTCTTGAAACGTAGGGTTTTTTCCACCATCTATGTTCCAAATAACAATTGAAATCAAACGCAAATTTCTCAAAAAATTCATTTAAAAAAAAAAACAAAAACAAAAGCAAAACAGACAGATCTGAACCTGTGCAGGTGCGGGTACGGAACTTGTTGCTAGCGTATTCGAGGCAAACGTAGGGATCTTGCCTGGAAATCCATTCGGTGTCCTTCAATTTGTTGCAACCCACGACTGTATCAAATATTAGTAACCGGTTACAAATTCATAATCAACACAAACAAGAAGAAGAAGAAGAAGAAGAAGAAGAAGATGATGATGATGATGATGTACCTGTGACTTCAAGGAGGTGGCCCTGAATACCAGTGATCATCGACATTATTGAAGGAGCAAGAGCAGCAGCAGGGGATGACGATGCGAATGGAGTTGACTTGAGAATTGGTACATTTATTTGAATATTCTTCCCCAAAAGTCACCTTAACATGTTCGCTTGTAATTTTTGCAAGGGTGGATAATTGCACGGATTTGACTATTCTCTTTCTGATTGGTTATTTATTTATTTATTTATAAATTACTCCAATAAAGAAAATCAAAAATATTTGGGACCTATAATAGAGGACTTCACGACCTTCACTCATGTATTAATCATTAATGTGCTTGAATTTTTTTTAAGAGTTATGTCTGACAATGGCCCTGTTTAGTAGAACTTATTTTCAACTTATTTCAGCTTTTAGCTTAATTTAAACTATTTTGATGTGTTTGGTTCAGCTTAACAATACAGCTTATAATTTTTTGTAAGTCAAAAATCAACTTATTCTTTAAGTGGGGAGGAGAAGCTTAATTTATAAGTCAAAAATCAACTTATGTTCACAGTTATAAGCTATAAGTTGTTAGGCTATAAGTTATAATTACTTTCCCACAGCTCTACCAAACGGGGCCAATGACATAAATAATTCAGGTTATTTTAGAAGTTACGGAGTTGAATTTTGTGAGTATCTCTATAAAGAAATTAGAAGACACGATAAAAGGTGTTCTACGAATTAGAGTTAGAAATTGAGAATCGTCGTTGATTTCTCTCTCGTCAATTGGGAATTTTAAAAGTTATGGAGTTGTATTTTGCGAGTATCTCTATAAAGAAATTATAAAACACTGTAAAAGGTGTTCTACGAATTAGAGTTAGAAATTGATAATCGTTGTCCATCTCTCTCTCTCTCGTTAATTGGGAACCCAGTTCCGATTCGTAGCTCGAATTCGGAAGCTCGAATTTGGCTCGACACCAAAACGACGTGTCTTTTTTTTTTCTTTTTTCCTGCGTTTTTGTTGCAAAAGGAAGAAGAAAAAGAATGGAGAAGAAGAAGAAGGGTGGGTCTGAAATCAAACCCAAACCCCCCCACACACAGAGCAACAAAATCACCCACTCACACACACACACACACACACACACACACACAGAGCAGCAAACTAGCACGAGCCTCGTCGGCGTTCGTCGTCCGCCGTCGTCCTCCGTCGTCGGCAAAACTAGCACGATCGCATTGTCGGCAGCACGATCCCGTCATCGGCAGAACCAGCACGATCGTCCGCCGTCGTCCTCCGTCGTCGGCAGAACCAGCACGAGCCTTCTCTTCCTCTTCTCTCTTCACTCTTCTTTTTTTCTCCTCTCTCTCTCTGTATTCGAATGAAAAAGGAAAAAAAAATCGAATTCAAGCCAAAATCGGGCCACTAATTTCGAGCTATAGGATTGATTAGTGATGTGGGTTAATTTTTTAATTTTTTGATTATTTTAATTTGAAATTAAAAATTTTTAACTTTTTTTAAAAAATAATAAATAAAATAATTATAATTTAGATATAATATTTTATTTTATTAATTTTATAATTTATTTTAACCTAAACTATTTATGCCAAACGACGGTATAAGAGAATGAAAAGAGGAGATGGAGCGTATGGGCAGGTATATGCGTGGTTGCAAAAGTCGTCCGCGTAAATACGAACAGGGTGGAGTTTTCTTAGAATATACCTCGGCCTGCACTGGAATGGAAGTTGCTTCGAACTATATATTTTGTTTAGTTGGGCTGGGTAAACATGTAGTTGGTTCCCCCAATCTGCCTAGATTAATTTTTTTTTTTTTTTGATCCGTAGAAAATCCATTAAAGAAAGCCAAACGGCACTTACAAGAGTCCATCTAACCCAAAACTTACACCATATAAAGGGAGAAATACAACCAGAAGCACAAAGGAAGGAGACTAAAAAAATATTCATATGCACATTTCGTGCTCGTGCTCGTACTGCGAAGCACAGCCGATCATAAGAGTTCGACAATAGAGAATGTTTGGAATAATTTATAGCCAAAAAATGTAGCTTTTTTACCCAAAACAATCCAACTTTTTGTCAAAAAAGCCACAAAAAAGTCAAAAAACCAAAAAGTCAGCTTTTTACCAACTTCTCAAAACACCACTAAGTTGAACTTCACCACTGATGGACTCTCCAACAAACAAAACAACAAAACCCACGATACAAGACAACTAGAAAATAGAAAAGCAAACCTACCAACAAAACATAAAAAAAGTAACAAAACAGCCAGCCAAATCTATGTTGGAACAATCTTCTGTGAAAAATAAATAAATTAAAACAAATAAAATAAATTACATACCAAATTTATTTTTACCGAACCGAATGAATATTTAAAGACCAAGTCGAGTGTGTGACACTCTATCCTTAAGACAGATTCGCCCCGCTACGGTACTTACGGTTAAGTGGTGTCTATCTCCCAAGATACAATGATTTTCACAAATTTGTAGAAACACTCCAAACAAATTTGTTCGGCGAACTAGAACCTTGTGTTCTATACTCTCTTTAATTTTTCTTAAAAACTAATATGAAGAGAAATTATGCAAAAGAGCAAACAAGGACAGCAAAATGTAATTTCCAGATTGTTTTTGAATGCTTGAACACTGCTGGAAATGTTGGTATTTATAGGCAAAATTAACAGACCCAAACAGGTGCTATTTTGAATGAACAGGTGCAAAATCGAATTGAACAGATACAGGTTTAAACTAAACAGATCTGTTAGCAGTTTTGGATCTGTAACTGCTGGGCAGTTTTTCACACTATTAAAACAGTTTGAAATTGTTAAGAATATTTTGGACTGAAGGAAGTAAAAATGGATAGAAAACTAATTCAATTTTTGGCACAAAATTTGAATTTAATTTCATTAAAAAATTCAAATAAATTTTGTTCAAAAAATTAATATAAGAATCGACCCGACCCACAACCCACACCTGCGCCCACCACGGCCAGACGGATGGTCGCCGCCGCGCGTACGTGCGTGTGGTGGTTTTAGCCAAGATTCTATTTGTCCATAACTCATATCTTCTACAAACTTGGGGTGCCCCTTGGGGCCCAACCTAAGTGTTGTAATCTAGAGCTTATATACATAAACAAGCTCTTTTAGAGTTTCAATGTGGGACAACTCATATTTATTTCTTTAATTGTCCATTCCACGAACTCGAAAACGACGTCAATTTCCCATTCACTCATAAATGGTTTTGACGAACTGTCTTCACCGTGTGACTTGCAATGCGACAAGGAATACGTCACCTCTTCGGAGCCACCCCAAAAAACGTTTAGGGCCCACTCAAAATTGGGTTTAAAGATGGCCCAAAATAAGCCTATATAAAACCATTTTTCCAACAATCCCCCCACATGAATGGAATTTGACGGAGAGAAAATGCAACGACATGATCTAATTACAGAGAGTACAAAAATTGGAAATATTCTGCAAAGGATAGGTAGCTTTTAACTTTGAACCTTCCCTTGTAAGGCACTATCGGATTTACTAGCTAACTAGTAAACATTATGTTTTGAACTATTCAGCCGTTTGTGTACACTAAGACAATAGAACTCACACAATATATTACCAGATACAGTTTAGTTCTCACTATTGTGTTCATTTTGGCCCTGAACAACCTAGTCTTTCAAAAGTGCTCTCATAGAACCGACCTAGTTCACACTCACGTAGGTGATTCTTATGAAGAGTATCCTGTCATACTCCACTAGGTTTACCTAGACATAAGAATCATTAAAATTTTACTTAACCTAAAACGCTGCAGACATCACTATTTCATCCTAGAAATGGGTAGGAGTTGGACTCCCCTGTGATCCTTCTAAGTCATTCACAACTCGGTTGTCCCTTTAAACCTAGATTTTGGGATCTCCAGTCAACTAAGATGGGTTGCCGTTGTGGTAACTCTTATTTAATAGGCTTTAGTCTCCTTCCCCTCGATGAATTCTCAGCTAGCTCTCTTGCTAACCCTTTGGTTAGTGGAGCCGCTATATTGTCTTTAGACTTCACATATTCAATGGAAATAATTCCATTAGAGAGTAGTTGTCTCACGGTGTTATGTCGACGACGAATGTGACGTGACTTACCGTTATACATATGACTTTGTGCTCTACCAATTGCTAATTGACTAACCCAATGTATGCATATAGTAGCCACCGGTTTTGGCCACATTGGAATATCTTCAAGGAAGTGGCGAAGCCATTCTGCCTCTTCCCCTACTTTGTCTAAAGCTATGAATTCTGATTCCATAGTAGACCTAGCAATGCAAGTCTGTTTCGAAGATTTCCAAGATACAGCCGCCCTACCAAGAGTAAAGACATACCCACTGGTGGACTTTGAGTCTCTAGTATCCGATATTTAGTTTGCATCACAGTAACCTTCAAGTACTACTAGATATCTAGTATAATTTAGCCCAATGTTACTGTAGACACCCCATTTTTGACCGTCCTCAAGACTTGGACGTCACCGTTTGAACACTCAGTGATAATCCATGCTTGTGTTTGTTTTGAGTTTCCGGAGGTCTCGGTTACGCGCCTTACTTCAGGATCTCTCAACTTGACTGTTCTGTGGTTGGTTTTGCATCAAACACTTGTGTTTTTGTTTCTGGGACAGGGAGTGGCTTGTTAGCCCCCCTTGAGACCCACCGGCCGTGTCTTCTTGATACCGGCCATTGGTGAAATAGTCCATTGGCCGGTCGGCACTATGAGTGGTCGACTGACACTTTATTTGGCCGGTGGCCTCATTTTCTGGCCGGTATCGCTTTTTCTCCTTTTTCAGGCATAACACATGCCAGCTGTGCCAGCTGGAGTGCACAAACCTGGCCGTCCATGCGCGAGTGTGGCTGTTTTGCCCCTTTTGCACCTTTTTGGTCTAGCTTCTTGAGGAAGCTTGGACCTTTGTCTTAGCTTCCTCAAAAAGCTTGGACACCTGTCCGAGCTTTCTAAAGAAGCCTTGGCCCCTTTGCTTAGCTTCCCTTAGAAGCCTTGACCTTTTAGGATAGCGTCTCTTGGAAGCTTAGCCTTTTGCTTGCTTTATATAAAAGCCCCTCCTCTCTCCTTTGTTTTGGTTCAGAAAATCCAGACCTAATACATACATATATCTGATATATCATCCTCTCTCTTTATATCTCCCTCTCTCTCTTCATTTTGTGTG